TTTCTTTTATCCACAAATGCCAAATAGAATATTCCTACAACACTTGACAATGTCAAGTTACCCGATATTAAAAATGCTGTCCCCTTTTCAGTGTTGGCTTTTGCCCTGCTAACATTTTCTCTGGGTTCAAAGAATTCAATTTGATTGAGCCTGATAAGCTCAATGAGCTTATCTGATGAGAAAAATCAGATCGAGAACACTATAATGCCTGAATGACCAAATAGCACTTAGAGCACTTAAATTGTCAGGTATCAAGTGATTTCCTCATCTCTTTCCACTAAGAAAAGCCTGATCAAGCAGTTTAAGTTTCCTTTTTTAAAAAAAAGAGAAACTACTTGTTCTCTTCCACCGAGTCCCAAAGTTGTTGGCCTTTCAGAATTGAATGATGATTAACTTGAAGAAGGGACTGCAATTTACCAATTTCAACAGCTCAAAAGAGATCCGTTAACATGAGTTTAGATCTGTCACAGGCAACTACTTGGCACCAGATGAGAAAGTAATCCTTGCTCTCTCCAGTCCTCTACTTGGATTTCTTCTAAGTCACTTCCAATATCCAAGAAGCACAAATCAGGTACCAGCGGTAGCAAGGACTCCCCATTAAACTCCAAAAAATTTTTCTTCACTGGTTTGGAGGCAGGATATGACCAATTGCTGGGGAATATTGTTGCAGTACTGCTACTCATCGTGTTTTATTGTCATACTTTGAAACTGCATTGCTTCTGTGTGACCTATAATGAATATTAAAACCTCTTGCAAGAGATGAGTGAGACTAGATACACTGAAAAAAACCCCAAAATTTTTCAAGAAATAAAAAAGCTCCTCTTGAAAAAAAGCAAAGTTGTCAAACTGGGAAGAACTGGGTGTTAGTGCTGTAATACCTATTTTTGTCTAGAAGCGACAGAGAAACAGAGAACATGTATGTTTCCTTCCTTGTACAGAGGGATCTCCAGCACTGAAAGTTTCCTGTAGTAGTAATTCATTAGCAAGGAGGATCAGTGCATCTAACAAGCAGGAAGAGAGGGACAGAAGCCCTCTCTTCACATTTACTCTGTAGCTCTGTCAGGTCACGCTGCTTGCCTGCATGCACAAAGCAATAGAAAAAAGACGGAAACAATTATTTTTGCAATCTATCTTTCAGCAGCCTTCTATTGAATAAATACAATCAAAGCTCCAAACAGTCCAGTGGAATGAGTACAAAGCCCCTCCCTACAGTCATGGACATTATTTTACAGCTGTAGAACATGCCAATCAATTGAAGGTTTTGGCCAGGTTTGGTAAACTTAAGTCTTGAGGAAAAAAAAAGAAAAAAAAAAGAAGAATCAAAAGATATCAGCTTGAAATATTTTCATTTTGGAAGTAGAGCAAATTATCATTTTAATCAGAGTGCTGTAAAACTTTTCCCAAGCCAAAATATTTTCAGTTATCTTGGACAGAATAATACCTTTGTCACAATGGTGACAGTTTCATAGATTCCCACTTTTCAGCCAACACAAGGCAAGAGAAATCCTAGACTGTCCACAACTCTCAAAATAAGTTTCTCCATCTCATTCTGATCAATACAGTGGCCAACGACAGCTCCAAAAATGGAAGCTGTAAGAGCATACATGGTTATTATTTAATAGGAAAAGCCTGAATTCATTAGGCAGCCACATCACCGAGATGCACAGGCTGGTCCTAAATAGAGGAAAAATCCTGGTGTTGAGCAGAACCCCCCAAGGAGTAGCACAAGCAACACTACCCAGCACAAACAGAGCCAGTTTTGGGGCTGTCTTTGTTGAGCCTGTGCAGCAACTTATGCCAAGGATTTATGTCTTCATCTGCACAACTGTAGTAGAAGTTATCCTCATTGAGGTGTATTTCCTGACTTGTCAGGAAAAAAAAAAAAATCCTAAACTTTGATTCAAATTAAAATGAACAAAATCAGTTAACTGTAAATAGCTCATATATTAGCATATTCCAGTCAAGTTTTAAGAAGGTTAGTATTGTGCCTGAAATCCTGTTTAAAGTTAGTTGTATTCTTTTCAGTGAAGCAAAAGTACTTCACGGAAGGAAAAACAACTAGGAAGTAATCTTAGAAAAATCAGGAATTAGGCAACTGCCGTTGCTGAGAAGACATGCTAGCAACTCCACCAAGAAATGGTTAAATCAGCACCTCACGCAGCAGCCCACTACCAGCACCTTCTGTTCTTCCTACTTGTGTTTTTCTTTCTACGTTCTAGAAAAAGCAGAAAAACAGAGAGGTGGCTGCCTCCAACTGTTATTCCCATACTCTATCATTCACATCACTTAACTGCTTTCACCTTGTGGAGACTCCTGACCTCCATTTGTCCTCAAGCAGGACTCTCATTCCTCTTACCTTCTTTAAACTGTTATTTCTCACAGCATCCAATATTTTCAGAGAACGCTATTTGAGTGCTAGCCACCTTCCAGGACCTCACACCTTTTTGCAAATCTTTTTTCATCTGTCTTGGAATGTAAAGTAACAGTTGAATTACTAGGTTTCTTCAAGAGCTGTAACTTCAAGAGACAGAAGTTAAACACCTAGAACAATAAAAGTGGGAGGATAAAAAGAGCTAAGGGATACTTTTTAATGTGGTAGTAAGCAAGAATACCTGTCCAAAATGTGTGAATGCTAAAGAAAAGTGTGTAATCAAAGTAATACTCAATTACTTAACTGCCTCAAAAGATCAACCAATGCAGTTCACCTGGACATTGGATGTCCCCAGCTTGGAACCATATGTGAGTTCACTGCAAACCAGATGAAGTCAACATCCCCAACTGTTACAGCTAGTTACACTCATCTCCAAGTACCACATGTGAATTTATTAGAGTTACCTTGTCTCAATCAGTCTATCTGGTCTTTTATAACTTCTGAACTATAGTTTAAGTGCAGTAAGACAGTGTCCATAAATAACTCCTAACAGAGGTGCATACTGCTCCATTATTTTTGGACTTTGGTTTGTTAGATTTTATTTCAGCAAGTGATAAAGTTTCATAGGTAGCTCAAGTATTCCTAGCAGCAGCATTGAGACTGTGAGCAAGTACTTAGTTGTTTTAGAAAGGTATTTGTACTCATATACTATAGTAAAAAAGGTCTAACTTAGTAATTTCTGTCAATATTTACTATGAGGAAGTGTGCTCAATGTGGACTTACGTGCTGTAGCAGGTGTCTGGCTGGTATTATCTATCCCACAATAGAGGCACTTTCTAAAGACAGAGTAGTTGTTCTCTTGCACTCCTCAGAAGAATGAAACATAGCTTACTTTTCAGC